AGAACTGCCCCTAACAAAAATATGTACTTCATTTGTAGGCCTTGTCCTCTGAATGCTGCTAACAGATTCTCCCATTCCCCAGCTTGGCACCAGGAATAATGTCTTATCAAACACAGTGCTTACACAGACCCCGATTTTTAACCTCCAATTCATGGGTTTTCATCTTTTTTATAAGAAATATATTTTAAAAAAACTCTTTTCATAATCTGTATCTTTGTGGAGTTTTGCCTGCTTCCAGTCAAAAAAAATTGTGTATGAAATTTATCTGCTCTAAAGGGGGTAATTTCACACACAGATCAGGAGGTGCAAATGTTACCAAAAATCAGAGGCACCTGCAAGAAATAAACAATGTTTTCTGATCCATTTAAAGCTAAAGAACTTGACATCTGTTAGGTGGCATTTATCAGTAATCAGCAAGATTTACCTTCAGATTTCACTGGCACCTGATAAACCTTCAAAGTTTCTTTAAGATGACTAAGGCTTGCAGCATCTGTGATGATCAACATCATATCATCATCTGCTGACAGGGCATCGAGTTCACACTTGCAATTGCTAAAGGAGCATGTACTTCTTACATTAGTATTCCTGAAGAATTCCCAGATTATTTTCAGTTCCATATTACTGCAGAAAGCTTTCCTCAAAATCCCTATAATTTAAAAAGTGGAGTGTAAGACTTCATATATACACAGTTTTGAATACAGTACTGTTTGAGCTTACTGCAAATTTTCCACATTTACAAGATGGTAATTTAGGCCCTGATCCAACACCCACTAGAGTCAGCGAAAAGACTCCTATTGATTTAAATGGACCTTGGAAGAGGGCCTTATTTAAATTTTTTAACATTTCTGAAATCTACTTTTCAACAGATAATTTTCCCCTTGTTATACCACCTAAGTTGACCAGTGAGTGAATCTACTTTTAATAAAGTCATTTAAGTTTCTTCAAACCACGACAGATTTTTTAACTATCATCAATTCACTGACATGAGATTCAGTGCAAACAATGTAAAATTTCTTGCCGATAACAGACATATTGGAGCCTGCTAACAGTGAAGCTCAGTGATTCAGAATAATTTCATTCAATGCATAGTGATTTCAAGTCACCAATTCTACACCAATTAGCAAGGACAAGAGGATAAATGCACGAAGGAAAGCCTCGAGCCTCCCTTGCTTTATGCATAAAGTAACGTGAATTTTGAGGGCTTGTATGAAGATCACCAGACCAGATGGTCTACAGAGGTTCCTTCCAACCTCAAACATTCTGTATGAAACTTTACTGGATGCTGAAGCAATAGGGGTATCTCCTTCCCCTCAGGCAACTCATTGCTGTGCAGTTCCAAGCAGAGGGGGCTGGTCTGTGAAAGGGGATTCTCCTTCGTCTCTCTTCATCTTTCTGATGTGATAATGCCTCGAGGAGCTTTATGTCCTGGTGCCCAGTCCAGCTACATCATACAAGGGAGTCAGGAGCAGTTAACAAACAGTTCCTGCCTCCTAAACGTGGCTTCCTTCACCTGTGGTGCTGAAGGGAGTTACCTGGAGGGCTTTTTCTTTTTACCAGTATCACTAATTTGACTCTAGTTCATCCTTGTTTCCTCACTTAATGAGCTTTTGCAGAGGAGGGGCTTTTAAACATCTATATCTAATATCTAATGTGGCTATTACCAGACAGCCTAGCAGTCTCAAGACACAGAGCCTTCTAAAAAGTGGCAGTTTTTATTATCATCATCAGCTTGTAGACTTTCCCAAATTGAGTTGCCTCACAAAAATACAAGAGCCCATTTTAGAGAAGATTTTGTCGGTTTCATGTAATGCACCAACTGAAGGCTAAAAAAAAGCAATCTAAATTAATACAAGATGGCTTACATATTGAAGAATAACAATGCAATAAGGATTTTCAGAAATGCATACAAAACCCCTGGTATTTTCATTCAAGCATGTATTAGATTCACAGAGTTATTCTGCCAAGATATCACCAAGCTTCTCAGGGCCCCTGGTGGCAAGTTCCTCAGAGGGAACCTGGGTTGTGGTGTTACCACCACCTCTTTCAGCTCATCTCTTTCAGCTGTGGCCATGCCACAACCAGTTGCCTTCAGTGGACACTCAAATGCCACTCGGATCCCCGCTACACTCCAAGATAGGTCAGGATGTCAGGATGAGTGAATCAAGCAACAGCAACAAGAAACGGCAGAAAGATGACATGAACGCAGAGTTATTTTCAATTTCCACTGAGATCCCAAGTAGAAAAGGCTGCTCTATAGTGACAACTTGCCCCCCAAAAAGATTTGCTGCAAGTCTCAAGGGTATTTCTAACAACTCGTTTGTTTACTTACCATATCCAACGGACAAATTAATTCATTATTCTAAAAGCATGCCTGCAGTATACAAAGCTGTGGAAGTAAAAAGATGCATAACAAGTTTCTATTATTCTGTACATAAACCAGTAATGATCAGGTATATAGATCTTACCCTCTGCTTTTGGTAGTATTTCAGCTCCACAGACAATGCAATAAAGTCCTTTCTTGCAAGGCTGGCGACGCGTTCCCTTCTAACAAGCCAATGTGCAAGTTAATATAAACACTGTTTTGCATATTTTAGCTATCAACTCTAATTAAAGCATTTAAACATAAATACACTGAGAAATACAACAAAACTGCCTCAAAGAAGGCTACTACTTGCAGTACTGAAAGAAATACTTTTGAATCGATGTTTATCATTTATATTAGCTAGTGATTAAAATGTGCATCTCACTAAAAAGGCATTTAAGCAACTTTCACAGGTATATTTTGATATAAAGTATGAGAAGTTTTACAGAGTCAATAAGGCTTTGGGCTATAGAAGATGCAGTTTGAAATTCTGCAAAGGAACCTTGGAACTCAGGGGCTCAACTCTTATGCAATCACAGTCTTTGGCTTTGGAAATTCTGCTCCAAAAATTACAAGCCCCTCAGACATTGGAAGTTCTACATATATTGAAAAAAGAATCATGATTCCATGATTCTATATCTATAATTGTTTATAACCTGGATTGCGCGATTCCATGATTCTATAATTGTTTATAACCTGGATTGCGTAGCCTCTTGAATATTCTCAACTTCTATCTATATTAACAGGCCTTGAAAGCATTCAGCCAGTCTCTTTGTTTCAGCTGAGAAAAAAGAGTATTTGCTGAGTTTAAACTGCAAAGTATCTACAGCAAGCCCCAAAGAACCATGAAAGCATTGCACTTTTTCATCTGCACATTTCATTGGAAAGATTTTATATAATCTTTTTTCTTGCACCATAACAAACATCCGTTAGCAACTTAAAAGAACTTTATTCTATCGAGGTGGTACCTTTCTCTCACAGGTGCTGCCACTTTCCCTAACAGTAGCTTTGCTTCGTCTGCACTTTCGCTGAACTTTCAGACCTTTAATAAATTCAAGATTTGGTGATTATTTCAGAGATAATGCATAGTTATAATATCATAGTAAGAGAGTAATTTTTAACAGTTTAGCTTCTACAGATTTGGGAACTCCAAGTGAATAATTCAACTACCTATTTAGATAAACACGAAAAAAATGATTTGCAACAGAAAATCATTTCTTTCAGGGAAAACAAGCTTTCCGAGAGCGGTGGGAATCAAGCTGCGGAACCCGTGGGAGCAGCTCTGCTCCCACGGTGGCCGTGGAGGAGGGATGGCTCAGGTCCTGCAGCCCGTTACACACACACCCTGCCCGGCCTAGGAAGCCCCAGTACTCAATCATTTACTTGAATCTAAATCAAGGCTGTTTATTTTTGGATGTGTTATATGTCTAAGTTGCTTCGAGGATTAGAGCTGCTTTCTGCCAGAAGAGCAGGCAGAGCTAGTGCAAAACCATCAGCACCTGAGGAAGACGATTTTGTGAAACCTAAACCAAGGACCACAATCCGCACGCGGCACCAATGAAACAAGTTTAACTAAGTGTCTTTGGATCCTGAGGACTGCAAGATAAAGCTTGTTAAAGAAATTGAACAGAATTCTTGCCATTCTTGCAAACACCGTATCTAATTTTATACAGCTCCATTTATTGTGCAAAGAAAGGATATAGTTTAAATCAAACTGATATGAACACATTCGCAGTTGCATGGAAGTGGACATCAGAGAATTTCTATGGAAAGTGACCAGTTTACAATGTCATCTCAGCTCTCATTCAAAATATATAAATACCTATAAACCAGACTTAGATTGTAAAAATCCAGCATCTTAATAGTAATATATGATGGAAATAAGCAGTCTTTTCTTGAAAATCGGGCATAGCATGTTTTATTACAGCAAAATCTTGGCTTATGCTTTGATTGCAATAAATCAAAAAAATGTTTAAAATAGTTCCAGAAAAAGTACACCAAGGCAAGTTTAAAGTCCATTATGTATAAATTTACTTACAAAAGAAAGACCCTCTCAAAAGAAAATGTTAAAGGAACTTCAACTTTTATACAAAACAAAGAAAGAACACTTGATAATTGGCAAACTTTGAAGTGCCCCAAGAGCATTACACAACTTCTGATAAGCAAAATTTTAACAAAAAGAATTTGAGGGAAACAAAGTCCTGAAGAGCACAGCTGGCCTACTTCAGAATCTAGACTCAATCTATTACATTATCTGAGCTGCAAAGATGCTATTCTGCATAATTAACACCCACACACACAAAAAAGCCCTAACAAATGTAGATAACTAATTTGATTAAATGGGTGTTCTGCTTTCTGAGAAAAAACTAATTCTTTGGCTCCCTTTAACAGGAAACTCATTCAATCTGCATCAGACCAACCTTCTCCTCGTCCTATAATTACAAGTGAAATACTGTATCAGTTTCCAATTAGAATTTCCACATGTCATATTTGGCTTTTGGCAGCACATTTATGTTCAATAATCTTAATTATATCTACAGAAAACTGCATGGTAACTTGCACAGTGGAAAGAGATACAGAAAAATCAAGCCTGATTGCATATATTAAAGGAGAAATGGAAATTCCTGATGACTGCTCAATAGTGAGGCTATATCAGAAAGTTTTTTCCCCTATACGTCCCATCAAACCTGATACTACGTGCTAGTATTGCTCAATAGGAAAGATGACACACCTTTATTTCGTGATCTGGAAAGACTGATTTTCATTTTTTTGTTGTCCACTTCTTGAGATTCTATCTGCTCTGCTTCTACTCCACTAGTCACGTCTACCACATTATTCACTGCGCTATTCTTACTCCCATCATTTTGCTTTATTCCACGTAAACTTGCCTTTATGTCACCATCATTAATTGTTTCTTTAACGATACTTAGTGTTTTTGAGGTGTTGGTTTCAAAAAAATCGGTGCGTTTTTCTTGTTCAATCCAATTCTCAGCTTTATTACTGGCTGGAACTAGCGGACTGATTTTCTGTTCCTCTGGTTCTACATCATCGTAGAGTTCTGGTGTATAGTAGATACTCTCATCCTCATCCTCATCTTCTGCAGATACATTTAACTTAACAAGTTCAGATTTGCCCCCTTTTGAAATAAGTTCACTATGGGGCTCAACTTCCCCATCACAAAGTTGTGGCTCCCCAAGGTCCCCCTCTTCAGCAACTGCAGCCTCAGTATTTTTAAGGAAAAAATTCCTTGTTCCCAAACACGATGCTGGTGCACTTGGTTTATGTTCTGTAATGAATGCTGACTGGCATTGATTTACACTATCAATAAGTTCACTAGTCTTGTTCACATTCTTCTTGTGCTTGCCTTTAGCTATGGACGTGTAGTTCTCAGCTGCAGACAAAGGTGTTGAAGTCAATGGTTTAAGGCAGCAATGCTCTTTCATAAAATCAGCATTAGTCCGAGTGTTCTTTTTTTCTCTCTCTGTTTCAGTGGCAAGCCTTTTGGGTGTGGAGTCCATATGTTTTTCTCTTTGTGTTGCACAGCGAGAATGACCCTCTGCATCAACTTTCTGGCCACCTGTGAAAAATCACAAAACATTAATTAATTGTATATGCCTTCCCCCTGCTGATTTACAACATGTTTAGCACATCAAAACTAACACTGTTTTATTAGGTTTACAGTTATTTTATAATACTCATTAAGATCCAATACAAACAAAAGCCCAGATGTTACAACTATCTTTGCGCATGAATTGTCTTAATGAAATCAATAGATTAACTAGCACATGCAAAGTTAAAGCATATACATACGAATGGATGAAAAAAAAAAAAAGGAAGTATTTTTCACTGTGTTCTTATTTCATTTATGTCTTTCCTATCTGAAAAGGATAAGGTTCTCCTAAAATTTAGGAATAGATGTATAATTACTTTATTAAGTAAAGCTATTAGAGGAAGAGATTATTTAAAGGGTGTCTCCTTAGCAAACTCTACATATCAGATACAGCTAGAAAGCATTTGCTTAGACTTGTACACCATTAAGTTAGATAAAATTTAAACAATGATCTATTGTATGAGTTCAGCTTTCTTGCTGTGATAATCATGATACTCATTTGTTCATGATTATCATTTTGCAGTATAGTACTTTATTAATTTATTTTTTTATCCCCAAAATATGCATTTTTCATATTTGAAATTGTTAATAATGATTTTTCACATGAAATGACCATACTTTGTTTCCTTGTTGCCATGCAAGTACCTGGCTGACTCGATTTTTCAGGACTTTTTGAGGTGATGGTAGTAAAACTATTAATTTCTGGGACCAAACTTTGCTTCTCATTTTCAGCAGGGACATCTGGTGATAGATGAATAGAAGCCTCCAGCGAAGAAGGTGGTGACAGGTCTTTTGAGCTGGAAGGTACGTGCAGAAATTCACTGTTGCACTGTGAGGAACCACCAACGCCTGTTTGATTTTTTCTAGCAAATGTATCCAAAGATTCAAGTGCACTACCAAAATTTTCATGGTGCTTAATTTGCTGCCGAATCCACTTAGATAACCCTAAGGAAAAGGAGGAATGTTAACACAAAACTACATAATCTATATGACATATTTCATGTTAGTAAACAGCATCCTAAAATTGCAACACTTCCACATATATTTATTACATACAAACTCAAACAGATTTCAAGCAGTTGTTCATGAAAGTAAAATAATGTATGTCTGTCTTTCTAGGGCTGCAAGCATAATTTAGTGAATGGTACTAATAATATTGCACTTTTCCATTAAAAGAGAAAAAAATATTGCCATCTCTATCATTTTTGCTGCTTTGAAGTTTATACTGTTATGTTGCCAAATATCATTACACTCCTTTTACACCCAGGGGTTTGTTTTGCTTGTTATCATGAACTATTAAAAATGAATTGACATAGAGAGTAGCAATTTATTATCACAAAAAAATCGCGCTTACTAATATGTATAATTTCTATTTTCTTAGATAATTTAAATATGTTCTTAGTGGAACTAGACATGTCAGAATGTAGCTTGGCTGATAGTACAGCAGCTGAGCTCCACCTGCTGACTAGACAGCAACATTATCTGTTCTATCATCTCTTATAAACACGTCAGGAACAAAGACACATAAGGCATTCCTAAACAATTTTTAAACAATATTGTGCATGTCCATTTCTATTTTAGCTGCATTTATTTCTAGCCTGCATAAAACTATAACCAGAACCTACTTTTTGCATATTGGGTAAATGTTCAGTGATTTCATTAATAGGAACGACCCAGCCTTTACTTGTTCCTATCTAAATTAACCCTTTTTGCTAGTGCTCACTATAGGCAGAATACCAGGCAAAACACTACATCCTCTAGAGACTTAACCAATGTCGAAATAAACACATAATATATATTATCTATCAGTACTTTGTGTGTGTATAATATTTTATAGTCTATGTCAATATCAGAAACTTCTCCAGAAATTTTTACGTCTTACCAGTTATGTATTTATTAGGGTTAATCCGAAAGCGGTCATCAACTAAAATAAGAGCACCCCAATCGTTCCTGTGCCTTATACACCTGTAAAACAGGAACAAAACAGAGCAGATACAAAATTAGCATGCATATAACCCAAAACTGTGGGGATGAGACAAGAGTCAGACAGTTAGAAGGTGTAAAAATATAGACGAAGTGTTTTCCTGCTGGCTTGCAGCAAAAACGTTTGTTACGGATGCAAAACTTCATTAAGAGAGGCTGGCATAGAGGTTTAATTTTCCTTCAGTTCCTAAACTGACTATGATAAAAGCAGATGTATTAAAAATCCCACAACTATTCAGCTTAAAATCCCACCATACATTATTTGTTTTCCACTCTAAATGTAAAGGAAAATATATGAGTAAGATAAAAGAGAAAACACTCTGATGCAACTGCAAGCAGTTTTTTTTTTAAATAACTATGCACTTTTAAACAGAGTATTATTCCTAATTTTCTCTTTAATAATGAATCATGTCCCAGATAACAAGCTGTAGGTGGTATCGTTCAATTTGTAATTCCATTTTTAGAGGCCTACAATAATAGTCCAATAGTCCCTCTATATACATCAATATTACCTTAAATAATATTTGAATGTCTATACCATGACCCTTGAAAAATAGTCCCAAAGAGCAGTAATAACATAAATGAAATATGGCAAAGAATGGTAAGTAATAGTTTAGGATTATCATTCCCACTGTATCCCCACCAAGAGGACAACAGTGGAAAAAGGCACAAATGTAGCAGATTCAGACCTTAAAATGGCAGTGATGTGGCTGGCTTTCCAATAATTCAAATATAAATAACTTATCTGCACAGTAAGCAAAGCTACCAAGACAACATTAAGAAAAAAAGAGATTTCTTCCAATTTTTCATTTTTCCAGTGCTTTAATAAACATTCTTTTACTTCATAGCTTAAATGAATTATGCCCACTGGAGACATATCCTACACTTTTAGAAAAACCAGCATTGCAAGGAATTTGTAGCACCGTTGTCACCTGGCCATACACACCATCTGTTGTATCCCCAAGGGCTGTTATTTCATTTCAAGGACTTATGTTACTTCATCTACTGTAAGAGCAGTGAATTAAGAGGAAAGTGCCCGATCCAGGCCGGGCTGAGCACCAGCGCAGCCCCTGTCTAATGATATGATATAAAACAAGTTAAAATTTTTGTGTTACGGTGCGAACCTTTTCCATTTCTGTCTGAAAGGAAGTCTCTCTCCTCCCTGAGTTCAAATCAACGTGCTTTCATTTGAATGATTGACTATACAATTCACAGCTTTCACTAAAACTGGATTTAGGTTAAATCTCATTGCACAGGAATAAAATTTCAGATTTGTTTCCTCCTATTAGCTTTTCACGGCTGCTCTAGTTTTTTCTTAAATAACAAATTTTAACCAGTGCTTTTACACTCCAAAGACAAAGCGAAGAAATCAGACCTATAACACCAAAATTAACAGTGAGATTTTACAACTTAAAAGATATTCTCTCAAGTTCCTTTCTAACCTTTACTTATGTCATCACATTTTTATTAGATCTAATTCAAATTGCACATGTCTTCCAGCTGAGGTCTCTTTTTTTAATCTATAAACCTGTGTCTGTACTTCTGTTGATACATATATAGAGAGAATGCTATGATGGATAGCATCTATTGCAGATGCTGGATAGTCTATATTTATATATGTGTATAAGAGGAGGAGGAGGAAGGAGGAAAATGAATTAATTCCTGTTAACAAAATTTTGGGGATCCTTTTCATTTGAGAAAGTAAGTTATCCCACTACTTCTAAATCTGAAAAGTGGTTAAGAAGCATAATGAAATTGATATTTTGAAAAGTTTGGAAAATTAAAAAAAGCTATTCCTTCATTTCAAAAATACTTGCAGGCTGAACATTAAACAATGGTTACTTTGAGTGTGCCAAGAGTATAAGTTGCACATTTGAAAAGATCCAATAATTTTCATTTGATTTAGCAGCTGAAGCATCATGTGTCTCTGCAAATGTTTTTTAGGCTTTATATCCGGACTAGCAGTCAAAAAACCTGCAGCTAACGTGGATTTTGAATGTAAAATGAAAACACTGAACACTAAAATGCACAACAGACTGAAAACTAGACAGCTGAACAGCAGAACAGCTGAAGACCTCATTTCAGAAATATGAATTTTCTGTCTGATTTATCTCCTTTGTGTAAAGATTTAATCACTAAGGTACAGCAAACAATAAGTTCTATAAAAGCACATATTTTTAATTAAGGTCAGTTTATCTCACCTTCCCAGGGCTTGGTTGAGAGCTCTATAAGCTTGAATTTCATACCACTGACTCCCTGCTAAAAGCCCTCTCTTATTTTTGTGCTGGTCATTGTACTTCCTCTTTAATTCAACCTGAAAAAAGAAATCACAAATACTGTTTATAACAATAATTTGACATAGGAAACATCATAATGGTGGGGGGCGGGGACGGGACGACAAGCAATTAAATAAATAAATGTGAAAATAGAAGAAGGGAGCTTGTTAGATAAAACAACATTAAAAACCACCATTCCAAGTGCTTCCAAGTCTTCCTCCAAGTGCTATCCAGATCATAAGTAGAAACGATTATTCCAACTGAACCATTATTTGTTTATACTCTATTATGGCTTATCAGTTCAACATAATGGTTTTAAGATTAAATTAAGTCCCACCTCCTGACTAGGATGAAGAGCCAAGCCCTGACTATCCCGTATAGGGGAAGATGCAAAAAGTCACACTTCTCCAACTGTCCTGCTATGAAGAAGTTTGGAACTTCCTTCCAAACCCCTTTCTGCCCACCAAGAAAATGAGCGACAATTTCTACTGGGGCTCACAAACATCTGCCCCAAACTGAGCCCCTGAACTGCAAGGTTCAAGTTCATAAGTAGCAAAAAAAGGGTCAAAGTGAGGGAAATAAGGTGTGAAAGGCACCCTAGCTTCTTAGGCTGAGTTGGGAATTCCTCTTCTTTTGTGCTGCGAGAAAATACTGTAGTCTGCAGAAGAGAGGAACTTCATAACCTATTTTTCTGCAGCTGACAAAACAAAACTCTCTTGAACACGGTTGCAAGGAGCCGCATTTCAAATATTAACCAGGAGGCAAGTGGCTGCCTCGTTGTCACAAGCAGCAGCACCGTGTTCTGACCCCTGACGAAGGGATTCCAACGGGCTCAGCGAGGTGAACATTAATACCTGGGAGAAACATTCATATTACTCACAGTTAACAGCAGGCAGACATACACTGTGGTTTAATATATAGACTTGCTCTTTCCACACGTGGCACAAGTGCAGGAAAAGAACCCGTGTGGCTGCGCTGCAACCTGACCTGGACACAAAATCGGAGTGGCCAAAGAAAGGGATTAAGCTACAACAATCTCTCCAGATTTATGGTGTATTTTGCAGCCTGTGAGCAAAACTGTATTATTTTGCTTGCAGAGCTCTTCCTTATCATTAACTTTTGAGACAACAGGCAGTATTTTGGGGCTGAGAACACCCTAGGGGAAAGCACAGAATAAGAAGCACGGGTGTAACAACCACATTCAAAACATGTAAAAAAATTAGAAAAAAAGTCAACTCGTAGCCTGCTGAAGGAACAGTCTCTCCTGCTGCCACACAAAAAGGTGCCAGGTTTGCAGCTTGTGGGCCAGAGGAGGAAGAAAGGCTGCTCCTCTCTCCAAAAAACCCTTCTGACCACTGCAAAGACAAAGCTGGTGTCAACTGCAAAAGAAACCCTGCCTCTCCTTTCCAGTCAAACCGGTCACTACCCATTAAAAATGCCTGATCTGAATTTGAGCGTGAGCTTCTTATCTGGACATTATGCACAGTTCTAATACGTATCATCAGAACTGATTATAATTGGGGATGGGGGATTGAATTATTTTCAAAATAAACAAACAGAAAGCCACAGCAGAAAGGGTCTTTCCATTGCTCTTTTGTACAGTATTAACCTTTCTAAACTGACAACCGAAAGGACACGCTTCAGGAGAGAAAACAGCAGACTTCTAACCTCTTCTGACAGGTAACTTTCAAGTTGAATTCGGATAAGAAATTTTATTTTATGTACTTATGCCCTTTAAATAGCCTGTCAAATTTACAAATTCAATCTTTACAGCCAGAAAGTAAATTCAGTTTGATTTCACAGATTTAATATTTGTTCCAGTCACTCAGAATTTATTGATTGGCACATGAGGCTTTCTCTGCAATTTTCAAAACAGAAGCTGATTTCTCCTGAACAGCTCAGGAACATTAATGCCATTTTAAAAAAAAGGAATTTATATATATCTGTGCACTGCCACAAATGCAAATACAAATTAAAGTAACTAAAGAGTATTACTCAGTATTTAAAATGAGGTATAAAGTTGGAAGATTTTACTGAAGTCTTTAAAACACAACCCATCACAATACATTCCTGTAAATATTTTGCATTGGTCTTCTAGCCCTGGTCAGTTCTCTAACAATTTCCTCTGAAGAAAAAATTCTGTTGTGGGTAAGATTTTGGTTAATTGTAAAAAATGCAACTTTACAATAATTTCTTACCCCTACTATAACAGACTGTTCAAGGAATGCATAACTAGCTACATGTCTTACACTCATAAAATTATGACATTTACAATTATGTGCATAAAAACACTGTAGTAAAAGTGTCAGATCACTTATGCTGAGCTGCATTACCCTGTAAAGAGAATACACCACTTCCACAGTCCTCCGATACACCAGAGCATTATGGAAACATATACTGCTTGTGCAGCACATTAAGAACAAATTTACCCTTTTTAAAATTAGGAAAAAATGGTATTTTCCTGCTTTAAATGTGCAATGCAGCTTTTCTGTCTTAATTTTAAAAATGGGATAACAGAAAACAAACATTATGTTTTCTCACTCTAACGATCATGCCTCAGCATGAGATGACAACTTGCATTGCTGAGAGTTCAGTTTTCATTATAAGTCTACTAAAGGTAAAAGGCCAGGGCATGTCATTTTAATGCAATCAGAATCTATTTCATTGTATAACTCTTACATTATCAAGCATCAAATCAACGCCCGATTCAAAATGACATGTTGCATATGTGAAAAAGCCAGTCTCTCCTGCTAGCAAATATCCTAAATGTGCAGTAAACCACAGGCTAGAAGGGATTAGTTAAAATGTCAAAAGACAGCCTTTTACTTTTACCTGTTCATCCTTAAAAATATACTCCTAGCTATGAGGCATGCTTTACAGACAAATAGCTCGTGCGGGCAGCAGCACAAGGCCTGTGGCAAGCTCTGCCATCTTGTAGCTGTCACACAGATTAGGCTTTGATCTGTCTGGGAGGTCATGGTCACATTCACATTAACTGAAGTCTAACAACATTATACCTGCTAACTGCTCGTTCCTTTAATGCTTAATTAGGTCGACATCTTTCGCTACGGAATATTAACTGAGAAATATCAGAAAAAAAATGCCATAAAGCTTTTTTTTTTATCACTTGGAAAAATAGGTTGGGCAAAAAAAAAATAAATGCCATAAAGATTTTTTTTTTCTTTTTATCACTTGGAAAAATAGGTTGGGGAGGTTTGTGCTACAATTGAAATGTATTTTGGATTTTTTTTCCTCAGTTAAAGTTATCAAGACAAGTTGCTGTTTGAGGAGCATTTATTAAATTGGATTTTTGAAGTGAGGAAACAGGGGTTAGCTGTGGTGAGGGCACTTCATTTGAAGCAGCACGGGCTTACTCAGCATTCAAGAGACGCATAGGGTAACTATAGGAGATCTGTGGTAATTAGGGTATAAAACTATCGTTTGATGAGTGAGCTTATCACATGGAGCTCAGAAGAAACTAGGAGAAAGAAAGAAACTTCTTTTTAAGCCCCAAGATAACCTGCAAAGTTCAATACAGAAGCCTGCAACATCCCTTTCTTGCAAGGCTGGACCACACGGATTTAAATTCAGCAAAACCAGGGTTGTATCTAACAGTAAGAAAGGTGTAAAAATGGCAATCTATTATGTCCTATTAGTCTCTACAAAAAAAAAAATTGATGCTTGGGCAATTAAAATTTAAAGCAATATTTTATCCTTTAAATTGAATTCCTTCAGTCCTAGGATATAGAGCTTCTCCTCAGTTGGAAGCTGTAATTAAAACCAAGATGATAAGCAAATTTGAGGATATTTTCTGCAACATCACGTCTGAAGTCTGTTTACTTGGGAAAGTTTTAAGTGACAAAGAATAAAAGCTAACTTGCTAAACTACTTAGTAGAACAATTTTACAGACTTTGCTTCAGTAAAAATAAGCAGATGGTCCCAGCAGATATTCGTTCAGAATCATTTCATCTCCAACCAAACCTTAATCCTAAAGACTTTATGGCAAAACCAAACTGGAGAACGTACACATGAGATATTTACCTTCGATAATCAGAATATGGTCAAGTGATTTATCAGTGCTAGTATCACCATAAAAAAATCCAGAGGCTAAATGGGCTAAACTACAGCACAATATTTTGCATTTTGTGCTATTTAAAATCAATAAAATGACTGCAATTTGGGTTTAGCTCATCTGGCAAAGAATCAAGACTTTCAGCGGGAGCAGTTTGTTTAACCAATTATAGAACCATACTTTGCTTTTTAGACAAACAAACAAAAAAGGCCAATCTGCTGCTAGCAAGTCAGGCTTGTGCCATGACAAGACATCACTCCACAAACCACTTTAATTGTCCCCTGTTTCCCCAGGTCGATTAAAACGACCCCCAGTTTGCAACCTGGGGACTGCAAGGCCGAGTACCCAGAAGTCTGAAGCCAGGAGCCGCTGACCCCCTCGGCACCGCTCTGAGCACTTAGAGGGAGCGCTCAATTAACCCGGCCGTTTTCTTGACATCAGCACTTAGCCGTGTTGTGACAGCCCAAGTTAAAGAAAGAACAAACCGATGGCTGCTGATAGGAAAAAGGAAACTTGGCTTGGGAGCGTTTCAGCACGTGGACGCAGGAGCGTGTGATGCTCGGCCCCAGCGCTCTCCTGCATCGAACCTCCAGAGCGTAAAAACCAGAAAATACAAAGGTGCTTTCTAGCAATCCACTGACTTGCTTCTCTGCCTTTAGCAGAGGAAAGAGAGACATGAAAATACACTGTTTGTGTTTAAAATCTAATAATTCCTCATCTGCCCAAAGCAAACAAAAAACCCCACGTGGGTGCTCTTATTCCCTCTTCCACTGCCCCAAAAGACATAAAAACGGTTTTAAACAGATCTATCTGCTTAAAAATCTCATGTGTCCAGTTAGAGTTGCTCTTCCACCTGAAATAGCAATAGCCAGAGCTCTCCCAGAACATACTCACCATCTACTTTCCTCCTGACGAATGCCAAGGAATCATAAAAGTTTGCAAGTGTGAGAAAGTAAAGGACATGA